ATTCTATTTCTTATTTTATATCTGCTTGTCATTATTCATTTTGGGTCAAGGGGGGATTGTCAATCTTTATGCCAATAATAAATGGTTAAAATATAACAATTCCAAATACATGACATTATGGAGATGTTAATGTCCGTAACGTTGGTTTAATAAAAGTCCACGACACTTGGAATGTAATTATATTGTTATAATGCACATACAAGAAAGTTACAAGACTGACACAGAAAGCTTAAAGTTCATACATACAGTTCGGAAGTAGAAAACTAATAATCAACTATTAATACACACGAAATATGATAATAAGAGTATTTGGTATCGGAGTTCAAGATGGAATGTTTTAGTTCGCTATTCGGGTCTAATTATTAAAATCTAACGCAGTAGCGGGTAAACGTGAAACCTATATCGTCGCCCGCTCGCCTTGCCGCATACTACACGTTTCACCCGAGTATGCTCGTGAATTAAATTTTTATTATAAATAATATTATATAAATTTTTATGCATATAATATTGAATATATAAATGTGTAGTGTGAATGTATAGTGTGTAATATACGTAAATAAATATTAAATATAATTTTATATATCAACTATGTAATGTAATAAATAAATATAATATAGTTATATATATATTATGATAATACGCCTACAATATAACTAAATCGATACAATAAAAATATAAATTAAATAAAATCCAATAAAACATAAATTATCAAATAATTAAATTATTACATTGAAATTTTTTAAAAACTTAAACTAATATCACAGTGAATTAAAAAAAAAGATTATATACAATTAAATAATTTGGAATAATTGGAAAAATAAAATTGACATTAGTTAAACAATTAAAATAAAACATTAAAATACAATAAATAATTAAAATTAAATTTACAATAAAATTCTCTGTATGTACGGCCAAGAATTGTTTCGTTTATTGTCACTCCAGTACTTAATTCCAGGTCGCACTTATCGCGGTCATACACCGGACACTCAAACAAGAGGTGTTGAACCGTTTCGGCCACCTCGGGATCGCACCCACAGAACGGACTATCTTTTAGTTTAAACCTGTGGAGGTATGTCGCGAATCCTTCGTGACCCGTCGAATCCTCGTTGCCGGATATCCCAACGTGAGCCTTCACCCAAAAGAACCGGAGAGTTTTACCTCAACAACACAAACACAAACAATTACTAATACTAAATTTAACGTCCCAATAGGGAGACTATCACAGAAATTACGATAAAAAAATATTTAAATATTAAAATATTATAGTTCAATAAATTTGATTTGATTTTACAAATCAAATCAAGTCAATAATATATATATAATAAAGTAAGGAATTTAATTCCTTAAGTTAAAAACAGACTAAGTCATATTAATTAATGTAGGTTAATTTTTTAACGTCCCAATAGGGGGAGGGTCGAGGGCACAAACAGTAAATTAAAATATAATAAATAAAATAGATTTAATAGAAAAAACTTAAAAGTAAATTAAAATATAATAAATAAAATAGATTTTACGTCCCAATAAGGACTATCACAGTTATTGTCAATTAAAATTTGAAGTTAAAATGATCCAAATCTAAGTTAGTAAAATTTTTTACTGAACCAAATCTGGTGAAATCTGGGATTTAAAATAAATTAAAATACAATAAAACTATAAAATGAATTAAATAAATTTAAATAAAGTTAAAATAATATAAAATACAATTAAATAATAATATGAAATTAAATTAAATAATAATTAAATTTTTAAAAGGCCAAATCCGGTCAAATCTAAAAAACAGGTATAAAATGTTATAATTCAGGTCAATAATAATTAAAATCCAATAATAATCAGTAAAATGTTTAATGTCCCCAATAGGGGGGACAGTCACAAGGACAAAACAGTAAAAAACTTAAAATTATATTTTGGTCAACTACGTTTTAAACTACGAGTTGTAAGTTTTAAAGATGGGAGAGGTATCGGGGTGATCAGGAGATCAGCCCCTATCCCCTCTCTAGTTTTTCCCGGAGATCGGAAAAACTTTTTGCGCCAATTTTCCCGGATTTTCCACCTCTGGTTTTTCCCAAAGTTTGAAGAAATTTAGAATTTTGAGAACTCCACTCGATTAAGACCCGCGGGATCTATTCACAAACAAAGTTTCAGGGAGATCAGACTACGGGAACTATTTTATTTTAGGGGGTGAAGTTTCGCGACGTAATTTCAAATCCAAAGTGGGTGTCTTAATCCTTTGATTTTTATGAAAAATTTTGATGCCAAAAGATAGGGGAACTCGAAAAAATGATGCCAAAAGTAGTTTGGCCAGGCTCCGACACCTGAAACCTGTCAAATTTGGGTTACAAAGTTATTTTGTAGTTGACCTTTTTGACAGTTAAATTAAAAAAAATAACTTAAAATGGTTGCCGACCCCGCGCGAAGCCGAGATTACGTCCCAACCCTTGTAACATGTTGCGACTAATTTAAACATGTTTACTTAAGTTTTATTTTTATAGTCCGTATCGGAGCCACCCTGGCTCATCGACCGAGGGCTCTGCGCCACGCTCCGCTGGGCTGACTGTTAAAACAGTGGGGGATTCCCCAGCCTCTTTGAGGCTGGGACCCTCCTGGGGTAGTTTATTACTTTTTTTACCTGACGCCATAGTTTTTTGTGACCCTGTAAGGCAGGGCCGCCCTAGTGCCCTCGGGACGAGCCACCCGCTCGCCATCCATCCCAAGGCCGGGCACCACAATCCAGGGATTAGGGGCCGTATATAGAAGGCGTCTGCTCCAGAAGTTTGTTGAATTCTTCATGATTTAGCCCCGTACAAAAATGAAGCTCAGATGTTGTTATAGATTCAATATTGTCGAAAATAAATCGAGTTTGTTGGCAGGCTTCTCTTAACATATCTAGCATGTCCTTTAAATGTTCAGCCGTAAAACACGAATTTTTCAGCTCCTCTAACTTATTCCATTCGTTTGAAGTTAAATGAACGTGACATGCGGGCACTTGGTGGAATATATAACTTATATTCCACTAACATCCGAAATTTTATGAAACTTGAACTCATTTACTTGTTTTTCAAATTCGACAAAAAATTCTTCAACTGTGCTGTAGTTATTTAATTTTATTTCTTCAATTTTACCTCTGCATATTATTTGCATTGCTGTAGACTTGGTTACATACATTTTGTCAAACTTCTTCATTATTTCAAACGCTGTTTGACAGTCACTAATGTATTTCAGTTGTTTATCTGATATTGTGCTCATTATTATTGTCCCAGCTTTTAAACCTTTCTTTTTCCACTCGACGTCTGCAGCATCTTCATTTTTCATGATGGCGACCACGTGGCATTCTTTATATTCTAACAAAGTAAGTAACCTTAATTTCTAACTTGAATAGTTAACCCCATCGAAAATAGGCATCATTATATCTTCTATTTTTGCTTGTTTAGCCATTTTGAAGATACTTTAAGTTCTTTTCTATTTTTCGTTTTGCCGGCTCAGCGTAACGTAACCTTGAAATTCACGATCGTATTAACCTTTACTCTGTACTTGTAAATCTTCTTATACTTTTTCATTGAGTTTTTTCTTTGAACCACGCTCTGCTACCATGTTAAAATACTTAGTTAGTAATAATTACAACAATATCATATTCCACAAAACAAGCCAAAGCCGATCGTTGTAAACGTAGAAGCAGGGGTCCTTTATGAAAGCGTAAGTCGTCAAAAATTATTAGCGGAGTAACAATTTTGAAAGACGATAGTACCGCACAGCTACAAAACTACACTGTCACTAAAGTAAATAATGGCATCTAGAAGGATCGCCGGGAACCATCTCTTTCCAACATGTAGCGCTGTCTCATGAAATATCGTTCCCTGCCGCTGCTCCTGTGCTTACAATGAAAAACAATGGCAGCGCGTGGAGCGCGGCATGGTAGAGGGGCTGTTGGGTCGAAATAGGCACTTCTGGTCGATCTTGTGTTTTTTTCCACTTTTTTTTAAATCGCTTTAGTCCTACAGTTGTTAAAAAACTAATTAATTAAGTTATATTTAACATTTTTATGAATTTAATAATACCACTATAACAGTTTCCCTGCACGAGATACGGAGTTATGCCGATACAAAAAAAAAACATAACATTCGTTGAGATCTTTCAAATGATGTAGGTAGAAAAATGTTACAACACTTGGGACGAAACCGCCGATTGTCGTTTGCTCATCTACGCAAAGATACTTTTCCAAAGGCACAGTCTGTGTCCATGAATATCAGGTGTATTTAATAAAAAACGGAATTAAGTTTAAGATAAGTATAATCACTAAAAGGGCGTAATATCAAGAGAAAGAGTAACAAAAAAAAACTTTATCGGTAAGCATTTAATTAATATTTATTAATATTTCTGGATTGATAAATATGATCAATTAAAATCTCGGTGGACAGTGATATTGCTATTGCAATTTTGACAAGAGTTATTAAATTAACTAATATAAAAAAATAATAATAATTAGTATGTGATTTTTAGAAAGTCTGGAAGAATTTATTTAGAATTTTGACGACTGGCCTAATTTTGAAAATTCGGTCATGGTCGGGATGATCACGAGGAACATTATTGGTATTGTCGCTCAAATGTATGAATCTCTTTATTTTTTCAAATTTATTTACTGGCATTGTGTCTTTTACAAGAGGTATGCCTATGTTCCCGCTCAAATGTTTCGTGACTCTTGGAAAGTGCACCAATGACACGATGAGACACTACTCCAATGAATTGCTGAATATCTGTCTCTGTGACACGAAAAGTCATACTAGGATCTTTTTGCACAATGTAGAGATTCGTTTGATTGGCAATGTTTTCAATCAGGGTCAATTGGCACTTTCATCATAATTTAGTCATGTGTGACCTATGGCCGTCCAAGAATAATACAACTGGTTTAGGTATACTGTTTGTTTTTAACCATAGTTTGATAAATTAGTGATGTATTCAAAGATAGTTCTTGCACACATCCAGCCTGAATCTGACCTGCCCATGCATCAATCTTTAAGTACACTGTTAGCGATTACAGCAGGTAAACGCTTGTAAGTGTATACTATCATTGGTGGAGCTAAAACTCCAGATGCATTGGCAGTAACCAACACAGTTAAATTTTCTTTCTCGTCTCCTGATGCTGACACGTCCAGCTTTTGGTTGTAAGTAGAACGCGCTTTCAGCAACGTCGTCTCGTTGGACGTAGTGCGCTGCGAAAGCTCCTTAACAATGCCCATTAGGCTGGCTGCCCGACATTTTAGGGCCTTCTGGAAGGTCCCCTTTAGATTTGAGGACTTGGAGGCGACCTCAATAATCTCCCCCTGGTCCTCGAGAGCCATGCGCTCCATCTCCTCTACGGAGTGGTCCGCATAGCGGACGGTAGCTGCGCCGTAGCCGGCCTTGGCTCTGGTCGTCCGGGCGAGCTTCTCCTTAGAGGCAACCATTTCCTCTAGATCCGCCTCTACTATGGCCCGTTTTGCGGTTGTCCTGGTAGTGTCGAGAGATCCCCCGGACTTCTGTCGCAGGAATCGCTTCCTGGACTCACGGCGGAACGAACTACAGTCCGACACGCTCATGATGGACTCGGTGTCAGAGTAGCCCGTCCCTTGGTCCACACAATGAAGGCTTGCCGCCGACGGTGCGCGGCTAGCTTCAGACGCTGAAACGTCCCGTGAATGGCCCTGAGAAGGACCTTTGGGTTGGCCCTGAGACGGGCCTTTTGAGAGGCGCCGTCCGGAAGCGGCCCTCGGTTGCTTGGAACTCATGTTCTCCAAACGCAGATCACGATCAATAATCGCGAAGGATCACCAACCACTGGCCACTGCGTTACCGCGCACCAAGTGGCATGGGATTCCTTTCGATTTCGAAGCACAAACAATTTTAAAGCTTTGAAGCACAGTGTTCGTTAGCCGCCGGCCTGCTACTCCGTTACGGTGGTCAGGCGCGACGTTGCCCAATGGTCACTGCGAGGAAGTCAATACTGTGCGGGGACCCCCAGACCAGCCATACTCAAACAATTTTTTTTTATAGGGGCCACAAATACGTTTCAGTCATGGTGTCGAGGGCCGCAAGCAAAAATTATTTAGGTTTTAAAAAAAAGTAATTGTAAGTTAACAATGTAGTTACTTCATTAATTAAAATCAAATCAAATCAAAATCAATAAAAATCTTTATTTAGACATACACAGTTAACATATAAAAAAACAGTATAAAAAAATAACAAAGAGAACGTGATGCCTAAATTGGTAGGCCACTCAGCTTATGTTGATAAATCATTATCATGACTTTCAACGCTGGTATTCTGTGGCTGCCAGTACCTACGCACGCCACGTCGCAGGTAGTGAGAAAAAAAAAATTAATAAAAATTTTAACATGTGTGATTCAATAACTTACAATAAATATTAGTCTAAGCTTAAAATTAGTAAATTGCTAATTGTTTAACCAGAGTTGTATGTGTATAATAGCTGAGAACAAATAACCTAACAAAGAATATTATTGGAAACTAGAATAAATATACCTAAGACATAAAAGCTACAGTGGGTAAGTTACAAAATAATATTTCTTAATATCATCATAAAATGGTATTGTGAGTGACATTATTGTGTTATTCAATTCATAAGCACCGCCACCTTGCCAAGTGGCCATATCAATAAGATAAGAATTTACACACGACCAAGGGAGAGGAGTAAAAAGAAGTTTTGTCAAAAAGGTAGGGGTGTTGGGGGCACGAGGGTACAACTGAGGCACAATCTAATTACCTATAAATAATATTATATTTGAATGCGATTTTTGATACTGTGCACACTTTTTCAAAACTTTTTCAAGATCTGGCGTGTAGCTACATGCTATCCTTATTACATCATCCAGATGAGAATGTGTCAGTCTGTTTCTGTAAACATTCTTTGTGTATTTCATTTTTGTAAAAGACGATTCACACACATACGTAGACCCAAAGAGTGTTAGTAGAATTTGGGCACGTCTTTGGATGTTCTTATATTTTTTGGGCACAATACTCCAAAATTCCAAATATTCTCTATTTTACCTTTTTTCTTACACAAAACTTCGAGATTTGTGTCGTTTTTAAAATAGATGAATTCATCAAACAACTCAGAGTAAATACAATTCGAAACTGAAGCTAACTCTGAGAGTGTCGTTGTTTCTACATGCCATAGATTTTCTATAAGTAATAAACTGTTTTTTATTTTTCTTACATTTTGAAACCTTTTTCGAAATTCGTTCAATAGTGCAGTTAGATAACTTGCAATAGTGGAGCAGTTTTTTTTCCGAAATGTTAGTATTTATATCATATTCTGTAGTTATAGTCATCGTGGGAAAGTTTTGCAGTTGTTTGTTTTGCATTTCTTCATGATAAATGGTGAGGTTTTCCTCAAATGCAAACACTTTATTTGCCATATTGAAGACCATATTATTTTCCCCTTGTTAACACCGATTGAGATTATTTTTTCCGTAATATCACATAGAAAGCCTAAAATACACCACCATTCATTATTTTCTAATTCTGGGTATGCTTTATTATTTTGCACTAAAAACATTATTATAACACTGCGGGTTACTAATGCATGATTAATCCTTTTTTGTAAATCCAGATTAAAAAAGTTTTCTAATAGGAGTGTGTATTTAACTTTGTCATGTATTGGTATGATTTTACATTTAGAGAACAGGTTATGATAATTACCCTTATGCCCGATTTTTCAATCCTTTGATAAGTCCCTAGATAACTAACTGACGCACACTGGTGAAATTCGCTCAAAACTTGGCCAAAATTACGTCAGGTGTTTTTAGGCCTATAAATTGCTGTATTCTGTCTAAAATAATAGGTTAAAGGTGCTTTAAACAGTAAACTATTAAATCCGTTTAATTCATGTATTTAATCTTAATAATACTAGTTAAAATTGAGATAAATAAAAAAAAACAATCACTATATATATATTAACTTATTTCTGGTCCATTTAAAAGATTAATTACATCTTGAGGATAGGGTTTAAATTGTCTTTATGGCAGTTTTCTGATACTTGTGATAGGAGGATCTGATGAAATTAAAAGTTGGTGAAACAAATCTTCCATAGTCTGTTTCCTAGAAAATTTGCGTGTGAAACCTTCACGATACTTTTTAATATCTTTGTTCTTACTTTCTTGGGCCTCTTCAGATAGAAGACCTATAGGAACCACTGCTTTCTGTATTATAATATACCCATGGATCAATATTCTGTGAATTGTAGTCGGCATATTATACCATGGATACCATTTCAAAAAGACAACAGCGGTTTTCAGGCAGTATATTTTAAACTTTTCCTCATTTATTGCTAGCCCACTAGACATTGTCATCAAAATAATCCATAGCCTACAAAGCAATTGTTTGCTTATGCCAGTTATTTCTGCAGATATTTCGTAATTGGAGAAAAATCGTCGAGCTGAATTTCCATCATCATCATTGCCTGATAAAATATTATGAGTAATTTTTAAATTTCTAGACATTGTAAGTTTTGCACGATTTTGTTAAGCTGACGCAGTTAGACGCAGCTAATTTTGGTTTCATATGAAAGCTATAGATATGTCCTTTCGAAAAATGTAAAATAAACGGGTTGAGTGCGATTGAGTATGAACTATTTCACTGAGTGAAACAAAAAATCCTGTTAAAATATAGACTTCTATTTAAACCTATATATCTATAATACCGCAAGTAATTGAAACTGTTTAGTAATACAGAAATAATAAACTAACCTGAAGGTATAGAATCCATTACTTTTTTCACCAAATTTTAACTAAATACTATTATAATGTTGTCATTAAGCCAAATCTCAAAATTGTAATAAATTACTCTACAAGTAAAACTGTTTACATCGATTGTTGTGGATATACGAAAAAAACGTGTCAAGACATTTAAATGGTCATTCATAGATGGAGCCATATGTCTTGTTCCTAAATTAAGCTATCGAATTAGAATCGGAGTAACTTTGTTTTTTTTTTAATTTTGGCCATAAATTACGTAAATTTCACCTGTGTGTGACGTGTAAAAATAACTGGCTGTTTAACAAAGGAATATTTTCAATTTTTCAATCGTTTTTTAACTAAAGAATAGCTATCTATCTGTTGTCTACGAATATCTGTCGCTAATTTCACACTGTACGAGCGAGATGCACGTATGCAGTCATCGTGATGTTAGACTGAAACAAGTTATGATTGACATTGACATTAAAAACTAACCTTTATTTTGTTGTTTGGTTTCATTTAGAAGAAAGAAAGTTTTTATTTGAGACACGTATATAGTGAGGTATAAAAAAACAAAAAAGAAAAATTACAAATTAAAAAACAAAAAATAAACATAAGAATAAAGAATAAAATAAAACTTATGACTAATTTACAATAATATACCTACACCAAAACACGAAAAAAAAAAAATTAAAACTTAGGATAAAAAAAAAAGAAATCAAAACAAAAAAAAATAAACATTAAAATACATAAGGCGTGTCCCAAAAAGGTATACCATTCAGCGTAAAAGGTGTTAACACACTTTATGCTGATTTTCAATGGTACCCTTTGGACCTGATTGATGTGGCGGTGAACAAGTTTATAAATACATATTGTTAATGTGACAGTTAAATTATATAATAAATAAAAATATAAAAACAATAAAAACAACAAACAAAAAGTTGATGGAACACATGACTGAGGTACGCAACGGAGCCATACCATTTAATTAATTTGTTTCTATTATAAATAAAAATGGATATAAAGCGTGCTAGAGGTACTGTTTATTCCCTCATTGTCGGCATGTACTGGTGGAAATTCTGGCTGTTGTGGTATCAATACCTCGGGGTCACTAGGTGGCTCACCCTCACTTTGACTGCATGCCAAATTATGTAGTATGTCTGCAGCTACAATCACATCTTGAGTTAGAGGTATTTTACACCTAAGTCCAATACTTAGAACAGGGAAACTCCTTTTCCATACACCAAAACACCTTTTTATCACATTTCATCTCCGGATATGAGACTCATTATACAATTGTTCAACTTGGGTACGTGGATTGCTTAGTGGTGTCAACAAGTAATTATTTAAGAAATATCCACTGTCACCAAGCACAATTCCAATACCAAAGTCACCCCTATCACACCTATATTTGGCAGCTGAATTATTGAATATTAAACTGTCGTGACTTGACCCCGGCCACCTAGCAACAATGTCCACAAATTGCAAGTTTGCTGTACACATGGCCTGTACATTTAAAAAGAAAAATCCTTTGCGATTCCTATAGTTTTCTGCATTATCTCCTCCTGGTGACATTATTTTAATATGAGTGTAATCTATGGCTGCAATAACTCTTGGGAATCGTGCTATATTGTGAAAGTGCTCTTGTATGGCAATGATTTTGATTTGAATTTGAAAAAAATCGACCCTGTTAGCTTTAGTAATTAAACCCTCTTTTTACTACATAGGTAATTTAAAGGTTTATTACAAGAAATACAATCGCTTATATCACGGTGTAGTGTTGCAAGCATAGAGTAAGTATATATGTAAAAAAGAAAAAAATGAGTGAAGACAATATAGATAATTAAGTCAAGGGTGAGTTAAATTTAATTAAGGCGCGAAATTCAAATATACTCAACACCCTTCCTTTCAAAACAAAAACAAAAAATATTTAACAAACAATCATTGATTTAATTATGTCGACTACAGCCGGAGGTTCCAAAAAGAAAAAAACAAAATTTACATAAAATTACTTTATTTCTAAAGACAACTTTTCGTTACAGGATTGAACGAAGAAATGATTTTAGTAATTTTAAAACTAATTTACAATGCCTGTGCAAGCCGTGGTGTTTTCTTTCTGCATTCCATTCCCATAGATTCCGCGGTGTCAGCATTTGGTGTTTAATTTAATAAAGTTATGCTGGCGTAACACCTCCCCGCGTAGAACGGTGACTATTGAAGAACCTTGTTCGTGAGAGACGCCGAGTTGTTACTGTGGTCGACCCTTATGAGATGGGGGTCTATTTCTCTTCCTTCATATATATGTTTCTTGAACTCGTCCTGGGCTTGTATCTATTTTCTTGACACATCTAGATTGTAATGTGGTGTCCAGAGAGTAATGAAAGCTGAGACTGCTGAATAGATACTGCCTTTATTTCTAATAGATCGTATATTAAATAAGTATCAAAATTAGGTTACGTAGTATACAATGGTTATTAAGTTTGTTATTTAATATAATCTATTCACTACATCTCAAGATCTTAGTCTCTGAAATGTAAGTACGATAGTTAGGGTGATCATACAAAACAGCAGAATGACATACAAAGGAATAGTTGTATGATATATGCTGGAGTCATCTACGTTTTCTATTTGAACTGGATGCTTGAGAGATATCTTCGTGATGATGGAGTGTAAATTTGATAGCCCAGTAGTATTGAGAATTACTTTAACATGTTTCTTTGAAATAGAATCGTTGAATTGTGGCATTTCCATGATCTTCAATACTCGTCCTTTAATGGGATCTTTAGTGTTGGACAGCGTAAAGTATGGCGTTTTCATGTAGCAATTGATCATAATAACTGCGAGGAAGCTTCCTGAGAGGGTTCGATATTGTACTTGCCCACAGGATAACTGGACTTTCGTAGGAGTCGAAAAACTAAGAGTGTAATGCTCGTCGTTTAATTGTTCAGCAGCTGCTCTTGTCAGGATCACTGAGGTCATTTTACACGTCTCCTGAAGCTCTTGCGTAGCGATGAGATGTTGGATACAGTCGGACTCGTTTCTCGTTCTATAGTTAGCATTGGAGTTACAGAGGAACCATGAATTTACCTTCGGATATTCAGTCTTCGTGTACATAGAATCTTGTCTAGAGAATGCTATATAAAGTAAGGTGGGGACAAGTACTTTACGGTATTTGTTAGGCACGACAGTTAACTTATAAAGGTCATAGGTTAATGGATAGACAATCGGAACTTTAACCACTATAACTATTTGCATATTTAAGTAAAAGTAACCTAATTTTACTAGATCGTTAAAATACGAAAAATCTATGTTAAGAACCTCATCATTTAAGCACAAGGATCTCATTTTTATTACTGAATTCTTAAGTTCATCTAAGCTTAAAATAGAATGCGGTGTGCTCGATGAACGAATAAAAGCTAAACTATATTGTAATCTATTTAGCTCCTCGTATATACCTTCGATGTTATCTCCTAAGATAACTAGATGCTGTGCCAGATGGGCGTATTTAATTAAATCATTGATTGTCCTTTTCATTATCACTCTGTATGATGACCTCAACTAATTTATTTATTTTATTTGGATAACCAACAAAAGAAAACATTATTACATTAATTACATTGTCAAACTATTAATAATAACTTAAATGTCCTTTTAATTATAGGCTATCACATCACATCATGCAAAATATAATAATTGCAGTAAATCAAACCTTCTCCATGTGAGAAAGAGGCCTTTGCTCAGCAGTGGGCGCTGATAGGATGATGACGACGACGAAAATTTAAATTAAAAAACAATAATAATAAATTCAATAAAACATTACATAATCATCACTAACATGGACATAACTGATAACATGTAGCAACCAATTTAATATGAAAATTAAAAAACCTTTTTTGATAAACAATTGTACTGGCCAATATACTGGCAGCTAAATTTAAGATGTCATATAATTATTAGAAGGAAGAAAACAATTTTATATAGAATGAGAATACAAAAACGAGAGTTGTCAATTGGTTGCCGAATTTGTAAAACTAAAATATTGTAAAACATTATTTATTTATTTATTTATTTAGGAACACCAACAGTGCACATATACAACATTTACACAAAAAATAAACCAAAAGTAAAGTCTACATATGTACACCTATTAAAGGTGTTCACAGCATTGCCTAAAAAAAAAAATTTTTAAAAACAACACCTTAAACTAATTACATTATTTAATATTTCGTAAAAAATTGACAACACATCATCCACGTTTGTAATATTTCCAAATTCGTTGTGCCAGTTATAAGATTTTAGTTCGCTTATTATCTCTGTGTAATTTGCCTTAAAAAAAATTAAAGTCAACACGACCCACTGAACGAAAGCAATTGTTGTTATTAATATTATTAAAAATCGGTAAGCTTATCAAAAGTGGAAGATGTTTGTTATCTAAGCCGGCCTGTGGAACTTGGCCGGTAGTGCGCCGGCCAAGTTCCACAGGCCGGCGCATGCCGTGCACTATATTTACACGAACCGTTTCGACCCACTTTTGACCCCCCTGTAGCTCAGTGCCTATTGCAAGTACAGAGATAAAATTTTACCTACGTAATCATATACTAGAACTAAAGCAGTATGCCAAATTTCATAGATAAAGCTTCAGTAGATCCTGAAATATGACCCTGTGAAAATAGCTAATTTTGGCACTGACTCACTGACAGGTAATCAAAACCTCTAGGCCACTTCCCATTGTTTTAGCATTATGAAATTTGGTACACAGGTTGTGTGTTATATGTAGATTAACAAAAAATTAAGAAATTTAAGAAATCGGTCAAGCGTGAGTTGCCTCAATTCTAAATATCGAATTTTTAATAAATTCGACCCACTTTTGACCCCCTGTAGCTCAGTGTCTATTGCAAGTACAGAGATAAAATTATACCTAAGTAATTATATACTAGTCCTAAAGCAGTATGCCAAATTTCATAGATAAAGCTTCAGTAGATCCTGAAATATGACCCTGTGAAAATAGCTAATTTTGGCACTGACTCACTGACAAGTAATCAAAACCTTTATATAGGCGCTCAGCTCAGCACAATAAAATACATAATAATGAAATATTAATAATTAATAATATGAGTACATCTATCAATTGGTGATAAATGAAACAAAAAAATAAAAAATAAATATAGTTTAAAAAAACTCAAAAACGAGCTCCAATGATGAAAGAAACCGCGTGGAAACTATGTAATTTAACCTTTACAACCTTGGAAATCAATTTAATTTAAATTGTTTAAAATAAACAATAAATGGTATTATTGAAAAAAAGTGATATATGAAGCTCATCACGCTTTTTTTCACAAAAATACCATTTATTGTTTGTTAATTTATTTTTAAATTAATATTATTGTGAAAAAAGTGTGGGGCGCTTCTTAAGAACTGATATATATATAAGGGATATAAAATATTGTCATGTATACATAATGCACACTGTATAACTCAATTAAATATTGCTTACCTAAAAAATCAGGTTTCTATTGTTATAAATTACTTTCGATAGATGGCGCTAGCGGTATAATTGAATCGCGATATTGTTTTGTCTGCAGTATATATGAATGAAAGTCGATAAGGAATCGATGGTCATTTCTTTCTATTTCTTTCTACATTTATGTCTTGATATCTTATATATGGTTACGATTACGATTAAATGGATCACTGATTTGACTTGCTAAAGGATTAATTTTGATATTGCTTATTGATTGATTACTTGTGTGTGTTAAAAGCACAAATTCACTCTATTTCTTTTCTACTATTCATTTACCAACGATGGAAATTGTACATCTTTCGGTGGTTGGCGGAGATATACCACATAGGGTAATTCCTATGCCATCAGATGGTAGCTGTATGTTTCATGCTGTAAGTTATGCATTGTACGGCTGTATAGTACGATTGTATGTACGATTTGTTGAAAAAAAGTATTGAAATCTCACCAAAAACATGCCTGTTAAAAAGGGGGCCAAGTTCCAATCGGCTAATTGTTTGCCTAAAAAAGGGGTGAAATCCAATCTAATGCCAAGTTTAGATGCACTTTGAAATCGATCATAATCATCTTCATCAACAGCATGATCCACTGGTAAACATTTGCCATTCCCAAGACTCGCCACCACACCCAGTCCTCTGCCTTCCACATCCAGCCACTACCCGCCACCTTATTCACGTCAACGGTCCATCTGGCCGAAATTCACTTTACCATACACCCAACTTAAAATATGGTATAGTTGTGAAAATATGTACGTAGGTGCTTGGTTAAAAATATCTAAAATTATAATACTTCTAAATTTGAACTTGGCAGGTTAATTTAATTATTTAAATTATATAATATTTAAATTATATAAATATAAATAATTATATAACTAAATAATCAATTAATGATACAATTAATCAAGTGTTACGTACAGCACGAAAACCTGCCAAGTTCAAATTGAGAAGTATTATAATTTTAGATATTTTTAACCAAGCACCTACGTATTTTCACAACTATACCATATTTTAAGTTGGGTGTATGGTAAAGTGAATTTCGGTCAGATGGACCGTTGACGTGAATAAGGTGGCGGGTAGTGGCTGGATGTGGAAGGCAGAGGACTGGGTGTGGTGGCGAGTCTTGGGAATGGCGAATGTTTACCAGTGGATCATGCTGTTGATGAAGATGATTATGATCGATTTCAAAGTGCATCTAAACTTGGCATTAGATTGGATTTCACCCCTTTTTTAGGCAAACAATTAGCCGATTGGAACTTGGCCCCCTTTTTAACAGGCATGTTTTTGGTGAGATCAACTTTACTTAAAACATTTAAGGGACCAGTTACATGTATATCAAGAATATTACTCAATACAATATCCAGCATTTTACCATCAATGTTAACAATATTATTGTACTGGCGAATGCTATTCATTGCCATGAAATCAATTAACAAATGACCTAAATGATTATTCCTAATATTATGGGGATCTAACATTATTATATATATTAACAAAATATATATTCGTAAGTGGTATTAATATATGTACACAACGAATATACCACTTCACTGGTGACCCCGACGTGATAGCCGTAGTATAGCCCGACGATAAAAACTCCATTTCACTGGTGACCCCTTTCCGACGTTTTCGACGATTCCGACGATTCTAACGTACGTTCCGGATTTAACAAAAATTTGAAGACCGCATCCAACCATGACGGAGGACAAGGACTACATGACGTACCGAGTAGGAGTCAGAAGCCCACCATTCAACGCTGAGGATCCGCAGTTATGGTTCGCGCAGCTTGAGGGACAGTTTGTTCTATCTAATATAACCACGGACAGTACTAAATTTTACTATGTATTGGCTCAGCTGGAACCCCAACACTCAGCAGAGGTGCGTGACCTCATCATTAATCCTCCCACCATTGACAGGTATGAAAAATTAAAGACGGAACTGATCAAGCGGTTGTCCGCGTCCCAGGAGCGAAAGTACAAACAGCTGCTCATGCACGAGGAGTTGGGAGATAGGAAGCCCACACAGTTTCTTCGGCAAGCTGTTACTGGAACGATGTCGTTGACTTTATCCACTAACTCCGCTACCTCTTCTAAGCTCGAACTATGTAGCTTGCATAGCTACAATGGTTTGCAGATTTTCAGGTAACCTGCTTGACCAGATCGACCTGATGAATGAATTTGATAAACAATTGTACTGGCCAATATACTGGCAGCTAAATTTAAGATGTCATATAATTATTAGAAGGAAGAAAACAATTTTATATAGAATGAGAATACAAAAACGAGAGTTGTCTATTGGTTGCCGAATTTGTAAAACTAAAATATTGTAAAACATTATTATATATATTAACAAAATATATATTTGTAAGTGGTATTAATATAATATATGTACACAACGAATATACCACTTCAAACATTATTACAGAAAATACAATTTAACATTTCAATATAATTCAAAGTTTTAAAATGTCACAGAATTAAATTAAAATATTATGTGTATTATTTTAAAAATGACAATTTTTTTTTCCTAAATTGTACCAAATTGTCGTGGCACATATGTCTAAATCATTTATTTCGTTATTTTCGTTCACGTATTTCGTTATTTCGTTAACTCAGTAAGAGTTAACTCTGATTCTCAATTATATTCTCTATTACCTTCACGTTACGTAACATCCAATTTTTGGTGAATTAGGGATGGGCAAATAGGAAAAAAATATCGATACATATCGTATCGATATTTTTAAAATATATCGGTAATAATTCACTAAAAATTGATATGTTATATCGATATTTTCTGCGCAATAAGCAATTATCTATAAAAATTGTCAAAATATTCGAAATTTTAAAGAAAATACACATCTGGCTGTTTTGACATCAGTTTTATTATTAAAAAATAAGTACATAAAGCCAAGAAATGCTGAATGTACAGTAAGTGCTGAAATTTATTTAATTTCTTTCAGTACTCCATCAACTACAAGGTTTAAGACGTGAGCCATACAGGGAATCCAATGATTATCACCTAAAACAGTCGTACCGCTGACACTATATTTGCGCCGCCATCAGTGGTAATAGATACAATTTTATTTTTGTCAATTTCAAACTCTTCATATGTATATTTCTTTCCAACATTCTTGGATGTACTGTCCTGTATGACCCTAAAATAAATATATTTGTACACTATAAAATGTAATCATTGCAAATCAAAATAATTTAGAAGTGGGGTTAAAAATTATAAAGTACATCAAATATATACCTGAGAAAGTTTCTGGGCGCATAGGTTCAAACTCTGAAGGACAGGCGATTCGTTTACGATGTCAATAAAGTGAACCGTCAATACTAAGAAACTTCTGGTAGAATTAGTAATAGTAAGTATGTCACTTGTGAAATATAAAAAAGATCTCTTTTAATGTTTTTATTATAACCTCCTTTGTAGTATTGTATCTGTTTTGTACTGAGTTACCTGAAAGTAAAAAGTATTTATTTATGTTCATTACTCTGAAGAATTTTAATTGCTTTATCGTATTTGATGGCATCTGAGTAGTCTAGATTACCAGAAATACTCTTAATTATAGATCCTAATCCATCAATGAGTCTTCTCATAACACGGTTCGGCTTAAAAGTACATAAAAGTGATAAAGTTTTGTTATTTATGTCAGATTTAATATCTAATAACTGGGATTTCACTAATTCAATTTGGGAAGTTATGTTATCTAGGTAGGTATTTATTTATTTAACTATTTATTAAAAATATCTGAAACATTTAAAACAAAAATATGTCACAGGAAAATTGAGTTTAAAAGTCATACTTATCCCTAGAAGAGATTTCTTCCAGTATACCCAAGAAAGAAGAAATGTAGACGTAAAACTTAAAAGGTAGACAGGCAAAATCATACAAAAGGAGAAAAGATACAACAAAAAAAACATAAACTAATATTAGACAAAAAGGAATTAAAAAAAATAAAAAAGTATTAAAATTGATTTAAATTATAGATATAGATATATTATAGATAAGTAAATCTTATAGATATATATTAAAAAAATAACCATACATACATATATTAATATATAAATAAATAAATTTGTTTATGCCATTTTCACGAATTAACATTAGGATAAGAAATACTCTTTCAATTTCTTTTTGAAAATGTAGACGGACTTACTAGTGCGAATTGTGAACGGCAGCGAATTCTACAATTTCGCTGCATTACAGTGAAAGCGTTTGAGTAAAAATTAGAAGTATGGGATGGGATACGGAGTAATAGCTGGAGATTGGGGCGACAAGGGGAACCAGGGGGATGCAAGAAAACAAATAGCTCACGAAAGTAAGTGAGGTACAGGGGATTAAATAGTATGTTGTAAAGAAGACATAGAACGTGAGTATCCCTGCGAATTCATATGAGAAGCCACTTGAGATTATAGATATAGATATTTTGAGACCATAGTCCGGTTACCAGTGTCGGAGATTTAAATGGGGTAAAATATAACGTTGTTTATCGACAAATCGCTATCCAATTTTTTTTTTTACTCCCCCCATAACAAAATGGCAGCCATTTAGTTTTTTTATCATCGAAACTTAAGTGCCCACACTGATTCGGTCATTGCTACCGATATAGACGTTCTAGGAAGACGAAAGATGCCTCATTTTAAAGCTTACAAAATAGACAATCAATTAATGATACATTTTATGAAAAATCTTTTTCATAAATTACCAAAAAAAGGGTTTTAAAAACAAAAATAATTTTTTTTCGTATTTTTTTAGTTTCATAATTTTTCATGAAAACTAGTCCGTCAAGCTAACTTTTTTTTCTTGTATTCTCATAATACAGGATATTTTCTTACAAATAACTCATATACTAAAGCTCTAAGTAACATAGTTTAAAAGTTGTGATTGTTTAAAAAAAAGTAATGTTTCTAAGCCTAGAGTGGTAAAAGATAAATAAAACAAAATAAATCGATTAATTAGCGTTTATTGTTTTAATATTGCTTGAAATATTACAGCCACGGCTCAAAATGTCCACTATTATGTTGCAAACAAGCTGTAGCCCTAATTGCCACGTGTTGTGTAGATCTTTTGATCGTGGTCTTGTCTGCCCTCATTTCAGCACCGACTTGCAGTATTTTTTCTATTAGCTCTTCTTTCGTATTTGGCACGTTAGCATAAACTTTTTGTAACAAATAAGGAATACAAAGGTTTTGTAGCCTCTCAAGTTTATTAAGAAGTTCTTCAGTAGTGTCAAGGTAGCAGGAGTCAGCATAGTCTAAGATAGTAGGAGAAGAGATTGGACAAGAAGAATTTTAGTTTTGATGGGAAGTAATGTAGTTAAGAAAGGAATGATAGTGAGAAATTATTTTAGTCGGTCCTTGTCTAAATGGTAACAGTCCGGGTCCGTCATCTATGGAATCAATCTTTACATCTTGTCCTCAAGTCGTTTGGGTCAGTAATGTCAACAGTAGTATCCTGTAACAAGGTCGGGTGTTTAGAACTGCATTTAAGTCTTGATTTAGCCATTGCACCGCGTTTCTTTTTCGTATAGATGTGTTTAGGGAGGTCAGCTAGTACTGTATCCTGCGTGAAGCGCGGGGCAAGTTTTTGCCTGATTGCTAAAGGTTTCCTAATGTAAACTTGTTGGTATATTCCTTTTAAGGTTCTCTATCTTTATTTCTATTTTCAGTCAGTTCAGTCCTGTGTTGAAGGGAATTTTCATTAATTATATCATAAACCTGATACGCTTTTTATGTTCTACTATATACTGTTGTAGTAAGTTTTCAGTGAGGTCAATTGATATAGGGTCGCGGGGGTCAAAATGGCCTCTGATTAAGTCTAAAGGTCTGCATTTTGTAAAACTATTGTCGGTTACATTGTTATTATAAATTATATGATTTAAAGTACAAATACAAAGTATTATTTAATGTAACAAAATATGTACATATGAGATATTATATTAATATATGTATATATATATATAATGTTTAATTATATATGTAAGTGTCGCGTTCGCCACACTATGTATGGAGCTACATATTATAAGCAAGGACTGCATACAGCATAAGATTTGCTACACATTCGTTCCGTTTTTCTAGTTTCAATATTCTAAGATGTTCTAATATAATAGAATGAAATCGCTCTACTATTCCATTATCATTGGGGAAGTGAGCCAAAATTTTGTGGTGTTGAATCTTGTGTAGACGGGTGAATTCAGAGAATAATCGGTTAGTGAGTGTCCTTGGTCTGTTACTTTAGTCAAAGGCAACCCATGATGAGTACAGTAGTTGAGTAGAGCCTGTACCATAGTCATAATTTTAATTAGACGAAGTCAACTGACATTTACTGTGTTGTCACTTTTTAGTGAAAAAAAAAAGTGTTGTGACAATGTTAATGATTGAAAAAACTCTTAAATGAATGAAATTCCTCTGATTGTTTAGTGAATAGTTAGCGTGCCAAACTGCTGATATTAGATATGAATTTCGAATTTCAATAGTGCTTAGTTAAAACTTACCAATGATTTTTCGAAGACTATGTTCCTATACTATCTACCTATACTGAATACCGAGTATTTTAAACATTAAAGCCCTATTTTCAGTACATTATGAAACTATAGATGTATAAAATATAACAACGGCATAGGCAATGAAAATAAAGAGTCACTGAATACATAATAAAATAAAAAATAAAAAAGCCTTTTATTTCTAGCCAGAAGGTAAGTAGTTAGTAGAATTAATTGGAAAAAAAATAAAAGTGAAAATCACATAAAATAAAGTAATTAAAAATAGAAGTAACTAAACAAACATAATATTACAGTACACTCTACAGCAGTAGTCCCCAAACTTATTTTTCTCCTGGACTACTTTCAAAATTTTACTGGTTTCGGTGGACCCCCTGCTGCTACATTTCTAACACATTCTTAAAGTCGCCAAAAAATAAATATTGTGTCACTTCTGAGTTCTGTCTCTATATTCCGATAGGTAAAATAAAAACGAAAAATGGTACATTTTATAACACTTTATTTATTAAAAGAATAGAATTACAAGAAAAAAATATTAAGGTAATATAGGTTCAGGTCATAATTTTAATTAATGGGAAGGATGTATCTGATGGAGTGTCAGCAAACGATCAATGTTTGGCGTTATTTTTGTGAGTAATAACCGCAAATCCCCCCGCTCTGTGATATTTAATTTGCTCCTTTTTTTTGTTAAGAGGTTTGTAACGGCACTAAAACTTCTTTAGACAAGGTATGACGAGGGAAAAGCTATTAGAAATTTCCTTGCGATTTCCCACAGGCCAGGATATTTTTCGGGTATTTCTGCTTGCAGCCAAAATGTTTGGTAGCCTTTTCTAAATTTCACCTTCAGCTCCTCATTAGTGCTTAGCTCGAGCAGCTCCTCTTGTAATACAACATTGGCCACTTCCGTTTCATCAAATGGATTTATGATCCATGGTGGTATATCCATCGTCAGCATATCTTCAAACCTGGTTTTGAAGTCATCATGCAGGGCACTTAAATGTTGACTGTAGGTATGGATATCCTCATCAATACATTCTACCTGCGACAAGTTTGGAAATTGAGAGAATTCGCGCCGACTAATGTTTTGCTTCATAAATTTCAATTTCCCTAGAAAAGCCGAAATTATCCCCTTTGTTTTTATTAAATTCAGGCTGTCCCCTTGTAACTGCAAGTTAATATCATTAAATTTTTTAAAACAAATCTGTCAAATACGCAATGTCTGCTTTGAATTTGATCAAGTTTTCTTTTAAATTTGGATCTCTACTTTCTAAGAATTCTAATATGGAATCGAAAACAGAGTAAAATCTCGTTAAGCATGCACCTTTCGACAACCAGCGTACTTCAGTATGTAAGAGCAGTCGTTGGAAGTCTTCATCATTTTCGTCGCACAATTGAGCAAATGAACGCGTATTCAATGCATTGCTTCTGATTTTGTTGACAGCTTTTATTACAAAATGAAGAGATTGGTTCAACCTGTCACTTAAATGTTTTGCCACAAGATGTTGTCGGTGGATTACGCAATGAATAGCTGTAAGTCCTGGTATAATTCTTTTGAGATGACTTATAAACCCACGATATCGCCCGACCATTGCAGGTGTGATGTTACTATGGAGGATCGTGACAAATAATAAATAAAATAAAATAAAAATAAACTTTATTGACTAAAAGGTTACAAATGAAACAAGTTGCGAGGGCCCCTGTACTAGGTACAAACCCGTGTTACTGGGTGCCCCGCTCATCCACCAAGACAACTAGAACGTCAACAATGACTTGTAACACACATTTATAGAACAATCTATATAAAGCAGGGTTTACAATTTTATAAAGTAAGTAGAAAAAAGTATGTGTGTGTGTGTGTGTGTGTGTGTGTGTGTGTGTGTGTGCGTGTGTGTGTGTGTGTGTGTGTGCAAATGATGAAACAAATGAAACTCGTGGATGTTCGATGCCAACTGGTTTTATTAATTTAATTCGCTATATTTATTGTTCACTCGCTCAACTCCCGCCACACACGTTACACACACATACATACGTACATAGTTCGTGTCAGCAAATCTTACACGTACATAGTTCGCGTCAGCAAATCCTACCCGTCCATAGTTCGCGTCAGCAAATCCTACACGTACCTAGTTCGCGTCAGCAAACCCTACAATATTCCCCCCTTTTTTTAAAAATGTTTACATTTTTCTTATGGCTAGTTTCATTAATACATTTAATAATAATTAATTTTCGTTACTTGTCTAATTTGAAAGAAATGTTATTTATATTTTGTATTTAATTTAGTTTATATAATGCCATCAATAAGATCTACACACATTAATTTGAATAGGTATATGAAATTATACAAAAAAATTACAAGTATATTTTTTACTAACGATCACTTTACATTGTTACCTTTTATTTTAATTACATTATACTCTATCATTGTTTTTACATTTTTTACCTGTTTGCACACTCATATTACATTTCACATTCTTATGTTCATATTGCATTATGACGCGGTTGCACCTGTTGTGGCATTTGAATTATCGTGCTATTATGCCACACTGGCATTTCGTTCCGTAACATCTCCCTGGTGTCCTGTTTACACTTTTTATACACTACATATATTATGAATATGCAAATCAGTACTACAATGATTGTAGCTATCGTACTATATTTCTCTAAATTTTCTTCCAACTGTGAAATGGTTGCACTGTTTGCTCGATTTTGGGCAATAATTACTTCCTCAGTTTTCTTTTCTTCTTATTCTTCTTCCTGGCAATTTCCCAGCTTTAGCCAGGGTCTGCCTTCCCACACAAACGCCTCCACTTTGCACGGTCTTTGGCATCCTCGGTGGTTAATCCATTGGCTCTCATGTCGTCCGGTTAGAGAGCCAATGTTCCACGTTGCAAAGCGGAGTTTCCGTTTGGGTACTCGCGTCTTTAGCCGTGCCCGTACTTGACACGGTAGCCCTAGCCCACTTGTCACAGGTTTAGGGCGATGTGCCTGCGCGTCGTTTAACGGCGACGCCCTAGCCGTACCCAGTTCTTTGTCCTCTTGTCTATCCATGTTTAGTGGCGAGTGGTTTTAGTGGAGCGACTGCCGTCTGACCTCCAAAACCCCGTTAAACTGGTAAAACCAGGAAAGGATAAAGATAGAGAGGGGGAGGGGAAAGAGGATAGGAATGGGAATGAAGGGCAGGTACAGGACACCACCTTCATGGACTGGAGATAAGGTATGAAAGTGGTGGCTCGAGGATCCGGGGTCGCGCACCCGTATGCCCAAAACCAAATATCGGAAAAATACTGAGCAGTACACCCTCTGGATACTCAGTTTTCTTTTCTACACTGTAAGATTTACCCATTATGTGTATTTTAAGAAAAAAATAACAATTAATTATGTTTCCTTTAATATTGTTGAAACACAAATTTGAATGTTATAATATATAGTATATTCGTGACCTAGTTACATTGTTGCAACATTTGATTCATTGTTGACTCATCACATGAGCAGTTAGCTACCTATGTACTTACTAAATCATAATAAAATGATACGTTAACATTTTTTATATACTAGTTAGGGGCCATCCATAAAGTACGTCACACGTAAAGGGGGTGGGAGGGGGTCGACAAAGTGTGACATGGTGTGACAAGGGGTGGGAGGGGTCCTAAGTTTCGTGACATCACATTTCAAAATCTAGAGGTACTAATCGCGTAATTTGAAATATTAAATAAAATCTTTAAAACTGAGCGCGTCATCATATATGTATATTCATTAGTTTATTTTTTTGTTATTGTTTCAAATATTTGATACTGTATTGATTTCATAAGAAAGTACTTAATTTAAATGGAAATAAAACTATTTTCGGAACTGCTGTTTTAATTTAATAATTTTTCGATGTTAAATTGCAAAACATGTGACGTCACACTAGGGAGGGGGGGGGGGTCTCAGAAACGTGACCACCTGTGACAAGGACGGGGGAGGGCTCAAAAACTCATGAAATTAGTGTGACGTATTTTATGGATGGCCCCTTATAGTTACAGTGTTTGTCTGCTTAATTAATTATATTTTCTTACTTATACTTACTGATTTAACCCGTATCTTCCCAAGTCCTCAAAACTCATCTGATTGAAGCGAAACTTTCAGAATCATTTGTTAGTAGCCTAATTATCGATAATATGCAACAAAAAAAAAATTTCGATTTCCGGTATTTCAGTTACAGTACCGATCCAAAAATGGAACAGTAGGAGAATATGCCACTGTATTTTATTGTTGGTATTGTGTGCTTTTTAGGAAGATTGCTGTAAATAATGAAAGATATTTATGAATAATCTTATTTATTTTTAGTATATAATTTTAGTATTTTTAGTATTTTATATAACATTTAGTATAACATTTAGTATTACAATTTTATTTCGTATGAAACGCAGGAGAACACTTTTGGTGTAGGGCGACGTTGCATTTGCCACATTTCATTGTCGTGTTTTTATGACATAAACCACAACGGTTTTGTTTATCACTTTTGATAATATGGTGTGCCTTTCCATCTAACCTAATATCAACTGGAACTCGTTTTATGACTGCTAGAGATGATCTTGGAATAGGCTTCTTTACTGAAGAAGAATTTTCAGGAAAAGTCTGAAGATATGTTGTTACAACATGTCTTGTAAATGACAAATAGTCATGCTGATTGTTTTGTGAAGCTGGCGATAATTTATATAACTGAAAAGCATTATTCATACATACATTTATAGGAAACATAAGTAGCTGCCAGTACCACCTCTTCAGGCGTATAGAAATACGATAGCATCCCACATTTTGATCCAAACGGTCGACACCGCCCATATATTTGTTATAGTTGACGATGCAGCGAGGTTGGTCGACGTCTTTCTTCTGCTTGTCACAGTAACGTTTTACCTTAGCTAAAGGCTCCACACCACATTCGGTTGAGGCAACGGTAACAATATTGTTGTCATTGTAACGTACGAGGGTGATGTTCGTCAGAGTATCTGTACACTGGTCAAAAGACCCTCTGCTCATTTTCTTCATATCTTTCGCTTCTTTCAAGGGTGCCTTTTCTACCCTATTTGCCCTAACCGTTCCCGTCGCATCGTGTCCTAATGTTTTTATTTCATCCAACAAGGGTAAAGATGTAAAATAGTTGTCCATATAAAAGCTGTAAGTACCGGGCGGCAATTTGGATATGAGGTCTAAAACAACAGAAGCACCTACACCAAGTTCTGGGTGGGTATTTCCTGTGCTTGCCCCTTGATAAAGCTCTCCATATATCAAATATCCAAGACGAGTACATATAGACCAATTCTTATAACCGAACCGAATGGGTTTACCATGAATATGTTGCTTCGTCCCATGTTTCCCGAAATATGGAATCATGGATTCATCAATGCTTAGATTCCTGTCACCGGGATAATATTTTACCCATCTCTTATTGAGTAGATTCCAGAGAGGACGAACCTTCGCGAACTTGTCCTGTGGAGCTAAGTTATTATTATCGGCGACGTGAAAGAATCGTAATAGTTCTTCAAATCTGTTCCTAGGCATAGCAGCTGCCACACCTTGAAAATTACAATCAACACTTTGCTCCCAGTACATACGATATCTAGCAACACTGTTGTAACCAGACAGCAAGAGAATCCCTATAAATCGTTTTATTTCCTCAGTTGTAACTTTGAAATTGTGGTAACCTTTTTGAATAGCATTTTTTTCGGTTTCAGAGCGAATCAATTCAAAAACGTCTTCGTCAAAAAAAAGTTCAAAAAAGTGAACAGGAGTATCTAGGTGTTCTAAGAAATGTGGTGGCTCTGATGTTTTCTCTGTCTTCACTGGAATATCTACTTTCCTCCACTTTCGGGTAGCTGGACATTTTTTTTTTCTTTGCCGGTGGTTGTACTGATAAGTCGCCGTGTGTATTATTATCTATAGAAACTTCATTTGATACGCTTTCTATAATATCTAAATTAGACTGTGAAGATACAGTAGCCCTAAACTCAGCCTGTGCTAAGAGCTGCTGCCTGGACAGGTGATTTATGTTCGAAGACTCCTCATCTCCACTGTCTTCATCACTTTTGTCGTAATTATCTGGGGGTGTTATGTAAATATCTGCTGACAATACGTCATCGTTGTCTTCAAGATGCGATATTATGTCATTTACCGACAATCTAAAACAAAATAAACGCAAAATTCAAAAATAACAATTATGTCACTACATAAAATGTTCCATATCCATATTATCCTACTGATCCATTATTGGATCGGTACGTATAAAAGTAAAAAATAAATGTAAATAAGCTAAATGTGCATTTCACTGTCTTGCAATATGATAACTCAACTCCTAGCCGATATAAATACGATACAATAATTATAAATTATCTAAAAAAAAAACAAGAAATACTTACATTCGGCGATGAGACATTTTTTCACAATTTCCAAAAAATTCAGTGCGTAACAAAACACAAATTTCGCGGCCCACCGAGGATCTGACAAGTGAATATGGCGGCAAGAACTGTCAGTGCTGCCACCATAGACAAAAAAAATGGCTGCGTTCACGAAATTTTAGTAAAAAAAATATTAAACTAACCGATCCAATAATGGATCACTGGGATGATACGGGTTAATATTATTAAGTATCTATAAATCTAACAGGTTTCTTAATTGTTCTACCCGACTTTGTGACTATGAGATTGCTTGCAAGATTTTGTGTCATATTGTTTTCTTCTAATAAATACTAAGAAATATTTTGTAATATAATTTTAAAAGTCAGTTCAATCATAAACAAAAAGTAGATAGTGAACTAATAACAAATTAAAAACTTTGACAAGTTCGCAAAACAAAACGTCAACAGCACTCAAACAAAGTTTATAAAAACGGAAAGAAAAAAAAACAAATCACTCAGCGAATAACCTCTGTGTGACGTCACTCCGTAATCCACATACTAATTGATCACGCAAATTTTCTTTTAGATTATTTGTAAATTCACAATATTTTGACAATTTTTTTAATTCTGTTACGTACTGCGCCACAGATTCATCGTTCCTTTGTCTTCTTTGTCAGAAGCGATAACGTTCCGCCATTACGGACGGCCGAGGTTGTAAATGATAATGTAATAATGCAACCGCATCTTACGTTAATTGCAATGGTTTTAACGGACTCGCCAAACTGCTAAGCAATTCATATGCTTGGTCACCGATCGCGGTAGTTAAAGTAGGCAGCCATAACTTATAAGTCCTTTTCCACTTTGTTCACTTTTAAATACATTTCTAACCTTTCCCCGTATTTGAGTTCAAAGTCGAGTCAGCTTAAGTTTGTCAAAATGTCACTTAAAAATAGCTTAAATTTAAAAATAAATTTACACTAGAGTCCCTACAGCTCCTGTAATCCAGGTAATCTTAATTTTAATACTGATAAAATATATTTCCTAAAATATACTAACAGTATTTTTACTTTCTTATCTAATCTTGTTTTCTTATTTATATTTTTACTATTATGAAATACATTTTTTAGTTTAATTATTAATAAATAATAAATAAAAATAAACTTTATTGACTCAAGGATTACATAACAATCAAGTTGCAAGGGCCCCTGTACTAGGTACAAACCCGTATTAATATTATTTTATACAATTTATGTCTTATTTTGCAGGGTACATTTTTATCCGATGAGCAAAATCGTTAACTAATGACTTAAGCTATAACACTGTTTTGTAATTTTATACCGTTTGTCTGTTGATTATTTTTATATAATTTACAACTATGTTAATACAATTTTTATTGTATTCTGTATTATTCTTAAACTGTTAGAGTTAATTTAGAGTTTTTTAAGTCCCAATATATTATTTAGTTACTACTTTTCAATTTTATTCTATTAAAATATATAGGGCGCAAACCCGCGTGAGATCGCTTGTTATCTGCGTTTAGTTTATATTTAATTTTTCAGCATATTCGAAAGCGACTCTTCTGATTTGATTAGCAGCACAACCATAGAAAATATTTGCCATTTTTTTCACCAAGTTCGCTAGCTCGGCTTCTTGCTCACGACTAAAGACAGTGAATCGTCCTAGATGTGGTGCTAAGGTAGAACCTTTTTTTATCCTCTTCTGAAGGATTGAAAAAGGGATTCCCATTACTTTAGCAGCATTTCTTATAGAAGAACCGCCATCAATCGCAGCTCCCTCTGACTTGGTCAGAGACCTTGTTTACATTTGTATTTTAACCTTCCATTCCAGTTCTCGCACTCACGATGGCCCTTTGGTTCTTCATACTTTTTCTTTCTTTCATCCATCCCTTTCATACCTCTTACCAGTGTGCCTACTATCTTAGTCTATTTTATTGTAGGTGGTGGGGGAGTTGTCACAATCATATTCTTTATTTATTCCAACAGCAGACATATTCATTTCAATTTACAATACTTCATTCCAGTAATAGTTTAAAATTATATAAAACATTTAAATTTAAAAACATGATATAATATAATATAATTAACTAAAATTGTATACAATAAAACTTAAACTGTTGGATTACATTATTAAATAATTTCAATAAAACCTTAAAGTTAATATAAATAATAATTAGTTAAAACCTTAAGTACAGAGCAATAAATAGTTAAAATTCCAATAAATAGTTAAAATTTCAATATAATATAAAATGTTAAAATATTAAACCCTATTCTTCAACAGTGATGGATTATCACTCTAATTGCATAACTTATTATAGGTAGGCACTCCCACTAATACATATATACACACACACTCACACACACACTCTCACACACACACACTCACACACACACACTCACACACACATATACACTCTAACACACTGAAACAATCTCTCCAACATATTTATATAGAACAGTTTAATGTTAAGAGCTCACTTTGTCAATATGGCGGCGTGGGGACCTGGAGACCTGTAATACAGGTATTCCTATACCCATCACGGGCTCCAGTCTCTCACAAATGTATATTTATATGAGATGAAGATGATATGTATATAGTCATCGCAATAAAAAATATATGTTAAATAAGAATGTTAACTTTAAAAAATAACATGTTTTTAACTATGTATTAGACTTAGGTACGTACTATATTCTTTTATATCGAAAATGAATTCGAGTTTTGATTAAACAGATTGTTAAAGCGGAGGTAAAAAATAGTTTCAATTGGATGTTCGTATGCTGTTACAATCAAAGGGCTATAATTAGCTAAGCCTTTTAAACGATTCATAATTATAGCAAAACACCAAGTACGAAATGGAGATGCAAGATTTACCTTTATAATTACGGAAGGGCTTAATTGTTGGAATTGGATTTAATCTTTTGATCTCTGATCTTAAGGATACAATTATTCGTTCACTTTTTAAGTAAGAAAATCATACGGTATTATTATTATCTTAAAGATAAGGGTTATTTTATAAGATTTCTAAATATGTATGTAGTAATATTAAAATGCATAAATAAAAGGTAATTTAAATAGTTCGGGATAAAAATTTGTTTAAAATCTATCTCATAAATAAATGTATGAAATTTTAAACTGTGTGAATTTATTCATTGCCCCCATACAAAATTTGGCCCGTTATCAAAAAATATTTCCATAAGCTTACCGCGACGCGAAATAAAAAGTTTAAGTGCTAATAAGTGAGCATCTGATGACAGGTCCGACACAAGTTCAAGATGTATAGCGCGCGAAACAAAACATACAAATAAAAAATATAAGATTTTTGCAATCTAGCTCCCCTGCCTTTACGGTTCAAAATGAAAACGGGTCCCGCGTAGTCAACCCCACAAGGAAAGCTTTATTGCAGTCGTTCTTTAAGTAAATTTCCCACTATCGGCTTAACGGGACATACGCGTAGCCGGGCACATTTCATGCAAGAGTGAACGGTCTGTCGCGCAAGGTCACGTCCGCCGACAAGCCACCACAACTCCCATACCGTGTACAGCAGGAGCTCTGTGGTGAGCCGTGCAGAGTCAAAACAACAACAATAAAATATGTTTGGAGTGCAATAATATAGGATGACGTTTTTCATAACTAAATTCAAGTGAATTCTGTAGACGTTTTTGTCATTTTATTTATTGATAAAGAATCTTACAAATCAGAAAACGATTCTTGCTAATGTAATTTTGCTTACAATAATTCTGAATCATTAAGTTCATTTACTGTTAATAAGCCGCTTCACCTTTTGTGTGTATTGCGAACATTATGTATGAATAACGTGACCATTTATTTTTTGACTCAAAACGCGACATTGCTTTATTTAGGTTAAATCAAAAGTAGTAAATGAAACAAACAACGCTTTTTAAAGTTATTTATTCAGAAAATGTTAGTTGGCTTAAGAGAGAGTTACGATTCAGAAAGGTACGCAAAATGTTTATTTATGTTTATATTTATCAGAAGAACAAATTTGTTTTAATATAGCTGGTGACGATTTCAAGTAAGAATGAAACTCTTGACACGTTTTTTTTATATTCACCTTAATTATCAACATCGCCCTTAGAACTGAAATTTGTAACTGGGTTTTCTCGGATGTCCACAATTTATTCATAATAGAAAATACCCTTTCTACGGGAGCATTTGTAGCAGGCAAACATAAAATATATTCAATTATAATAGAAAAGTTTTCATGCTGAAGATTATTGGCGCGAAAGTGTTTGAATACTTCCACCCAACGGGTTTCCGTGGAAACATTTAAATTATTCCATTCCGTTACTTTTTGCGATGTGATGTAATTAGAAATTAATGAAAATTCTTCAAACACTTCAGTATCTTTATTACAGTCAATATATTTACAGTATGAAACGCATCACATACGCCGCGGCACGCTTCATTCATACGTATTATCATAGTAAAGCACTAATGCTACGTTGCAGCAATCCTACCGACTGCGCCAATTATGTCCACTACAGCCCCTCCGGCTTCCAAAAACAACAAAATTTACTTAAAATTACTTTAGTTCTAAAGACAAACTTTCGTTACAGGACCGAACGAAGAAGTAATTTTACAAATTTTAAAACTAATTTACAATGCCTCTGCAAGCCGTGGTGTTTTCTTTCTGAATTCCATTCCCATAGGCTCCGTGGTTTCAGAATTTGGTGTTTTATTTAATAAAGTTATGCTGGCGTAACAAGTTAAATGAAAACATTCCAAGTTTATGTCTTAACAATTGAAATTTACTTAGTGTCAATGTCTTTGTAAATATATCTGGATATTGATCATTACTACTAACAAAATTTAACAATTAGATATTTTACTCTGATATTTCTCTTTTATGAAGTGATATTTTATATCTATATGTTTGCATCTTTTATGAAAGTTTAAATTTTTAATTACATTTATGGCACTTTGATTATGTAAACACAAGCACATCTATTTTCTGTTTATATTCATTAATATCATTTAAAAATTGTCTTATTCACATTGTTTTCATAATTTTGCATTAAGTAACATACATTTTGCTCGTTTGATAAGAATTCTGACCTTTCATTCATTTTGTGGGTTTTCATTCATTCATTTCATTCATACATTTTGTGGGAATTTAAATATTTATATTTAAAATTATGTACCTGTGACATCCCTATTCCTGCCAGCTAATATTATTGCACAAAACAATCATCTGCTCATCTACTCACTTCTTATAATATTCACTAAACTTAATATTTTTCACTTACAATTTTTGACACTTAAAACAAGAATGGACTCAATAAAGAAGACACTGGATGACTTGACCGAACACTTTAATATGAAGATGTCTGAATTTCAAAAAGAGTTGAAATCATCTGTTCCCGCTACAAATCCTACTTCAAACATCAATGCACAATTCAATGCATTTCGATCCTTTGTGCTAGCGGCGCTGGAGAATCTTCAACTTCAGGTGGAGCTGTTATCCAGGCAATCCGATGACATGGAGATGCGGTCAAGAAAGAAGATCCTACTTGTGCATGGAGTTCCTGAAGCAAAAAATGAAAATATTACTGACAATCTTGTTAAGGTATTGTCAAATCGGCTGCAGCTTCCTGAACTGACCTCTGATAGCATCCGTACTTCTCGTCGCTTATGCCTCCTCTACACGTAGGCGGACGCGTCCGCCGATACCATCGGCGGACGCGTCCGCCTACGTGTAGAGGGGGTGATTTGCTCGTCTGTGGTAGGTATTTGACGTCGGCAGACGCGTCCGGCACTTATCCGTTTGTTGTCGGTTTTTGTTGCACGGATCAAAGGGATCTGGCGCGGGCGCCCGGCGCGAGCGTGCGGTGTGTCCACACGTCTGACGACGCATCAGTGTTCAGCGGGAAGCGAGTGAGAGTGCACGCGTGATTTTCGCCGTTCTTTTTTACCTACCGCCGTTTTTTTCTTGCTTGTTGAAATGGCAAACATGAGCACAGAGGAAACATTTAAATTTCTGGAGCTGTATCAAGCAGAAAACTGCCTGTGGAATCCCAAAAATAAATACCACAAAAATAAAAATGTTGTAAGTACACAATTCATTCATTTTATTTAACTATCTACTTACAAATTCAGTTGAGTTTACTGTAAATTGGTTATTAGATATTAACAATGTGGATTTATGACGGGTAGGCAATTGTTATTTTAGTTCGAATTAAAGCCGCATTGAAACACGGTCAAAGTTATAATACAGTTTTATGTGAATGGGTATTTTGATCGTGTTAACGCGACACACGACAACTTATTTTGACCACCTGTTATTATGCCCATTGATATAACCACAATGATTATACTTACTTATTTTATTTTTTCAGATTAATGATTCATGGAAACGTATTGCTGATACGATGGGCATTCCAGTGCATGAGTTAAAAAAGAAAAAAGATAATCTTCTTAGTACATTTAGAACGAATTTAAAAAAAAGAAATGCATCCATTCGGTCAGGGGCGGGAACAGAGGATGTATATCAGCCCATATGGATATTTTACGATGTGATGGCTGCGTTTTTAACAGATGTTTACGAATCCACAAGTATTCTAAATACAGAGGAAAAAGTAAGTAAAAATAAAACATTCTTTATTTTTGGATTATTTATTTATTTGAGTAGCCAACACAACATACATTTCTATATACTTATCTTAAATTTATAGGTATTTAGATACTACTAGATTACTAGGTACTTTTGAATTAATGGTTATTCTCGTTAATATATCTGGTAAATTTTATAATACTTGTAGGTACTAAATAAATAAATAGCTGCGGCAGCAACGGTCTCTATATCCATTCTGCGTGCGTACGTGTTGCATCTGACGAGAACCAACATAGACTGAACGACCTGGCGACGTGTGGACGGCTCGTAGAGATTCATCTGCGGATGCGTCTGCGGACGTCTGCAGACAAATCTGTCTACGTGTAGAGGAGGCATTAGGCCGAGCTAGCTCTGAACGTCCTAGAGCCTTTCTGGTCAAGTTTAAGGAAACTTCACTCCGAGATAAGGTTTGGTTTTCAAAGAAATGCTTTAAGAGCTCTGGAGTGACCTTGTCGGAGTTCTTGACCAAGCGGCTGCATGAGGCTTTCCTCGCTGCTCGGCAACGCTTTGGCATCAATAAGTGTTGGATGAGAGACGGTGCTGTTGTTGTTGTGGGGCCTGACGGGTCGAAGCATCCTAATCTTTTCACTTGCTGACTTGAACGCGGTTCCCAGTTCCAACAATGATAAGGAAGTGCCTTCCACAGCCAGTGCTATTGTTCAAGGTTCCAAGGACAACAAGTTGTTCTTAATTGAGAACAAGGAAGATCGTGAAAAAATGATTTAAGTAACTTTCTTAAGTCTGTTATACTCTTCGTTATTTAGATTCCGTAGTTTATTTATAATTTCACTTTTTCTTAATTGTTTTTAATTTAACTTTTCGACTGCTTATTATTTATTTGTTACCCACTTTTACAGTTTTACTTAATGTTGTCAAGATGACATATTGAATTGTTGTTGTATGTCAAACGTCATTCTGCTTAATGAATAACCATAGATAATTAATTTTACTTTAACTTCTTTTGCAGTGGGTCACATAAGAAATGTTTAATATATAAAAATATAATATATATTAGATACTCTTGTTTTTATTATCTCATCAGGTATATATTGTCTTGATATATTGTTTTAGTTTAGCTGTTAATGATGACGCTTACCACCTACATCAGGAGGAAAAAGAATTAAGTCGACTTGAGAAAGCAGCGGATAAAGAAAAGTCCCAAAAAGGAGAAATCAAGTTAGCTGTTTACGACCTACAAGCAGTGTTGCCAGTACCGATGGGGCAAACATCAGCTTTTTATTACAAGTCACGACTAAATTGTTTCAATTTCACAGTAAGTATCAGCAAGTGTTCCATTCACAGTAACTTACTGCTTCATAATAATAATAATAATAAATTACTTCCTACTGTCTAAAACGTGTCCAAACTGTTCAATTTTTTCTTTTTGCAGGTAACTGAAATCGGAAGCGACAAGACCGTGTGCTTCTTTTGGCATGAAGGACTTGGGCACAGGGGTGTTAACGAGATAGGAACTGGCGTTTACAAATATCTCGACGCGTGTTCAAGTAGCAGCCCTGGGCAAGACGTTGTATTGTACTCAGACAACTGCGGGGGCCAACAGAAGAACCGGTAAGCCTCAGATAGTACAAACAAAATTTGATTTGAATACATAGGTACCTAGCATAAACTTTAATTCTTTCAAGCTTTTGGCTATGAAGGAAAACGTAATTAACTTCCACTGTTGTTGTAGGTACATGATCGCTCTATACTTGTACGCAGTTGAACATCTTGACATCCAGTCCATTACGCACAAGTATTTGATTCGCGGTCATACGCAAAACGAGGGAGACGCAGTTCACAGCATCATAGAAAGATCTTTGAACAGAGCAAAGAAGTCAGGCCCTATTTACGTGCCCGATCAATACGTTTCACTGATCAGAAACGCTAAAAAAAAAGGAAACCCTTTGCATGTCAACGAAATGAGTTTTGGAGATTTTTACGATTTTAAAGCACTTTATGAGGAGATGGTACCAAAACTTGCCAAAAACACAAATGGGGATGATTTTAAACTTCAGGATGTAAAAATCTTACGATTTCAAAAAGGAGAGGACAAATTTTTTTATAAAACCAGCTATAAACAGGAAGAGTGGATTGAGGTTGAATTTAAAAAAAGGAAGAGCCGATCTTCAATCACATCTGCCATCACTTTAAAACCGGCTTATACAGAAAAAATCGCGCTAACAAATAATAAATTACGCGATTTGAATACCCTGTTCATGAAAAATTTGATTCCTACGTTCTACAGATCTTTTTACGATTCCCTGAAGTGAAAATGTTGTTCTATCTTGTATCTTTTTTTTTCATACATTCTTACATTTTATACATTCCAATATTTAAAAAATTTGTAGGTATGTGATTCTGTTTACACGTTTATTATAACATAGCTACCACTTTTTTTCACCACTTTGGATTTTTTTTCCCTTTCCAACTACTTTAAACAGTGTGCCTTACTTGAGTTTAGTTTTAATTCAGTGGCGAAATTTGGATAACATTGCTGAGAGAATCAACATTTACGACAGTTTGTGCCTTCTACGATTTTAAGAGAAACAACGACGTAACTGTATTTAGGGGTGGGAATTTAGGGTTGAAATTGGAGTGATTAAATCCTAATCCCTGGTAAATGAAAGTTGAGTATATATTCTACATACTCTCTCAACATACCATTATTTTATGTCACATACAGCGTTTTCAATTGTACGTTTTATACAAATGCAAATCGTTTTTTCACTCCCCTGTAAAATATAAAATTTTGCATTTACGTCACTGTTCTTCCGGAACGGCGATATTATTATTATTTTAGTATACATATTTTTTATTTTTATTTAAAATGTCCTCCCTCAATGTTAGTACAGACAGTAATATATTTTTATCCTTGTCTTATAACTCCTCTATTAGCGAAGATAGTTTTCATAGCTTGTCCCCTGAACAACTTAATGTCATTCTTGACGCCCACTTCTTAAACCTAGAGAAGCATTTTAACGTCATTCACATAAATGCACAGAGTATTCCGGCCCATTATCCCGATATGCTTGCGTCATTCGATTCCAAAAACATTCATGCTATTCTAGTATCTGAATCCTGGCTTAAAACATCGCTTCTACTGCTTTCTCTCTTCCAGGTTTTCATCTCATTCGCAATGACCGCATCAACAGAGGTGGTGGTGGCGTAGATATTTATCTTAGGTCTCACATCTTTTACTATTATTAGCACGTCAAGTCAATCCCCCTCTGCGGATGCGGCAGAGCACATACTTATTGAAGTTATCTTATCCCATACAAAAATCCTTCTAGGTGTCTTTTATAGCCCATCTCTCCTTAACGATTATTTTGACTCATTTGAAACAACTTTGGAAAATTTTATGCCAGTATATGATCATACCATAATTATGGGTGACTTTAACACCTGCTTACTAAAAAACGATGCTCGCGCTAAAAGATTGCAGTCGGTAGCAGAAGCCTGTAATATGCACATTATGCCTCTAACCGCCACCCATAATTTTCCAAATTCTACTCCGTCCCTACTTGATTTAATTTTGGTCTCTTCCTTAGATCATGTGTTTAAATACGGTCAGTTCCCAACTGATGCATTTTCATACCATGATCTCATCTATCTTTCTTATAAAATACGTCCTCCAAAAGCGAAGCCGAGAGTACTTCTGCAGCGTAGTTTTGGTGGAATGGATAATGACCGTCTCTGTATTGATGCTGGTAAGATTGATTGGTCAGTAGTAGTTGATGCGTCCACGATAGATGAAAAAATAGACATTTTCAATTCGCTTTTAATACAGCTTTATGATGTACATGCTCCTGTCAGGCCTGTTTAAATTAAACATCTTCCTGCACCATGGCTATGTTATGATTTAAAAGCTATGATCTCCAAGAAAGCACTCTATAAAGCACGATTGAAGGTAGATCAATCTGAGGCCAATCGTACAAAGTACAATAAATTTCGTAATCGCTGCAATACAATGTGTAGAGATGCACAACGACGTCACATTCACAAATCGACAAACAAACAACAAAGAAATTTACAAACAATATTATGGCGCGAAAACGAAAGCGAATCTTTGCAATATTTACAATTAAATACAGTCACTTATGGGATGGCTAGCGCAGCATTTCTTGGTACGCGCTGTTTATTACAGTTAGCTAAAGAATGCGAAGATCACGTAATGAAAACGATTATAGAACACGATTTTTATGCCAAAATTCGAGGGAATTAATTACAAATAACTTTAATACAAACAATCAATTAATATGCGATGTAAACTCAGTATCAAATACATTAGGACTATTGTGGTTACCCGAAAAGGATCTATTTCATTTTATAGTTAAAATACAAGACGATGAAATTTATACTAAAAGAAAAATTCTATCTGCTATTTCGAAAATCTTCGATCCGTTAGGGCTGCTAAGTATATTCGTAATAAAGGCTAAAATAATACTGCAAATGTTGTGGCTATCCAAATTGAATTGGGATGACCCAATTGATAGCGAAACAAGTTCATTGTGGTTGTCTTTTGTTAAAAATATTAATACCGCTTTAAACACAATAAGCATACCTAAACACGTAATATATGAGTTGCATTTCACGCTCCGTCGCGAACAGACACGTTCTAACGCGCTCCGTACCTAAAAAATCGTCAAGTAAGGTTCAAATTGTGCTACAACAGAGTGCTATATACCAAAGTGTTCGTCTCGGCGTCCCGATTCTAACGGTGCCACTCGTTTGGAAATCGGGTGGAAATTGGAAAAGCTATTCGCGGAAAACCTCAATTTCAGAGGTTAACAAAACTTAAAGTGCGTGCGGCGCGAGAAATAGAGCGGCGACCCCCCAATTTTTTAGTGTTGTTGTGTTTGTGCCACCGAGGACTACATTCTACCAAAATCTGGGATTTTTCCGGCCACGGGTTTAGAAGATATAAGAGTGGTAAACAAAAACCACGTGGCACGTGGTCAGTGATCCAAGCGCGTCCGGGTGGCGGGACTAGTGCCATTCGATAGGGCGTCTTCTCCCGAGTTCGCCGATACTTCGGGCATCCCTCTACGACCTCGTGGTGAGGATCTGGAACAAAAACAAGTTATCGTGCGGACGGTCCGGGAGCAACCCCAACTTCAAACCCCTATAACTTTTAATAGGAAGTGAAATGATCCGCACGCCAACCAAGGGCGAGTCGCCGGGGAGATCGCCCCAAACGGCACCTACAGGCGTCGACCACGCTGAGGAGCGAGTCGTGGATGCCTCGGACAGTACCTATGTACTGCCTGCCGCCGCACCACACTCGCTCGGCGCGAACCCCAAAACTAGGGCCGTCACTAGACTCCAAAAAGCGAAAGGAATGGTAATAAAGGCCAAGACAGCATTAAAAAATAGTAGGAACCTCAAAACGGAGCTAAAGGAGGACATCACCCAAGCGGTGGATGCCCTGTACAGCCTCGTTAGAGAATTTGAACAAGATAAGCAAACCACGCAAACAGCAATAGAAGTAGCTCAAACACTGACCCCAACCGCCTCTATCCCTGACGAGCTACTCTCGAAAATAGAGGAAAATAATAGACTCCTCAAGGAGCACTCTCTGAAGCTCGAGGCCCTAAAGGAGTCAATGGAGGAACAAAAGGGCCTCATTAAGACGGTGACCTACGCCAGCGTCACGGCGGGACCCCAGAATGCAGAACGACAACGCCAGCAACACAAGGCGCTGCACACCATAGCGGTGGCATCCATAGACGAAAAGTCTACGGGAAATGAGACTTATGAGGAGATAAGAAAAAAGCAGTAGATGCGAAAAATGGATGGATCACCGTCGAGAAAGTCAGAAAGGCCAAAGACCGGCGGGTGATAATGGGTTGCAGTACAAAGGAGGAGAAAGACAGGTTAAAAGAAAGGTTGGAGCAGAAGGGCGGGTTTGTGGTTGAGGAAATGAAGAACAAGGACCCTCTTTTGGTCCTTTGGAGCGTGATGGCGATTCACTCGGATGAGGAAGTCGTCAGCGCTCTGAGGAATCAAAATCGGGACCTGTTTTGTGGCCTCGACCACGAAAACGACCGTGTGCACGTGAGGTATAGAAAGAGAACGAGGAACCCATTATGCAACAACGTTGTGCTCGCTGTGTCGCCGGCCCTATGGAGAAGAGCGGTAGACCAAGGAAAGGTTAGAATCGACATGCAGCAAGTGAGGGTGGAAGATCAAAGCCCACTCATGCAGTGCACGAGATGCCTGGGGTATGGGCACGGCCGCAGGCACTGCAAAGAGGAGGAAGACCTTTGCAGCCACTGTGGCGGCCCCCACCTCAGAGCGAAATGCCCGAAGAGGGCACAGGGTGAAACCCCCACTTGCCGCAACTGCGTAACGGCGAAACGGAAAGATGCCAACCATAATGCCTTCAGCCATGACTGCCAAGTGAGAGGAAGATGGGATGCATTGGCACGGGCTTCCATAGCCTACTGCTAAGGGCCCCGCAGGAGCAAGAAGCTACACAGTAGTCCAGGCCAACTTGCAACGGAGCAAGTTGGCCACGGACGAATTAATGTTGGAAGCGCAGGATGCAAAGATGGCGATTGCGATGCTCCAGGA